GCCAAATTGTTGTCTGAGATAAAAGAGGAGCTAGGAGCTGAAAATAGGCTTCAGATTTTCCCCCATTTGTATTGAAGCTTATCTTGTACCCAAATGCTCTTTATTACTCTTTGGCAAGAGCTAGAGGGTCACTTGCATAATCTGTCAAAAAACTAGACAAAAAGAGTAATATAAATCTCTTGTGTCCAGGGAATTCCTCTAATTAGAAGTGGCAATGAATTAGAGAAGAAATTTTAATATAACATCTGCAAATAACATCTGCTTGTATATATAATTCTCAAAAATCTCATTCATTTACTCAACAAAAAAGGTTGCTAACATAAAATATGCAGCAGTAAATAATTTACCAACTTGTTTTACTAAATTCTAGTTGTCTGTTACTTTCACTTTCTTTTCTAAATAGGTACTTCTTTGCGAATTCCAAAGTTAACAACTTATTACCCATGAGAATTTCTCTCAGAGTATTTAAAAGTGTATGACTTATTCTCAAAAAAGTGATTTTGTTGGGGTTGGGATATATTTTTAAATTGTGTATTTCCAATTAGAAAAAGGAAAACTGTACATAGCCATGTTGCAAAGTCCAACACTCTATATAATGAAGTTATTGGTAGTACGCTTCCTTTCAAACACAGGTGCCACCTGCGCACCTTGGGGCTTCACATGTAAACAGGCTGCCACTATTGGCACAAAATCCTTAACCATCACTTCTGGACACTTACTCCAGGTGAAGCTACTGGGCAGGACTGCATCCTGAAGAAGGGCACAGACACGTGCAACCGCTGCTGCGGTTCCAGAGGGCCCCAAACCACTGTGCTCACAATCAAGTTGACAGCAGACTTGAGGAAAAGGGGTCTATTATTTTAAAGTAGCCCTCAGAACCCTTATCCTGAAAGGACTATCCAGAGGTAAGGGTCACCAACCTCAAGTTGACAGCTGAGAAAGCTAAGATCTAAGAAATTAAGAGACCCACCTATAAAACCACTTATTAGGTGTGCAAGCATTAAGACTGAAACTTTGGGCTCCCAACACCTATTCTATTATTATTCTTTTTATATTTCTCAGACATCATCTAATCACCACCTGTTTTCTTCTCCATGCCCAGGTCTACAAGAGCCAAACAAGTGGAGCTTAGAAGACATTAACCTACTTTCATTTGGTAACGTTGGCCCTGGTGAGGGTAACAAGGAAGACCCCTCAGGTGTGGACTATTTCTGGCCAATGCTGCTCCACGGCATCCAGCCTTCAGTCAGACAGCCGGTTAGTTATTACAGTGCCTGGAGAGAGCTGCACCACCAGCGACTGACATTCCCTTTCACATACTCAGGAAAACAAACTTTCTAAACACCAATATTAACTTTCAGTTACTGAAAGAAAGGGAGTAATCTCTGCAATGTAAAGGCGTTAAGAATCACTTTTCTGAAGAACAAATTGGGCATTTTAACTAGCCCCTCAAATCATTTATGCTCCGCTCTATGTGCAAGTCTTCCTGGCTGCCGACTTAATAAATAAAGTAAGAAAAATCGGAAGACTGATGATAAGAATTTCCATTCCATGACCAAGCCACTATTTTGTCAATATTTATGGAGATGGGCTAACTTACAATATTACTATACAATAAAATTATGCTATTAAGAACACTGATTTTTTTTAATTTAATGAAACAAAAAGTTCAATAAAAAGCTCAAGCTCAAGTAATGAGCAGCCTCTCTCAGACACGAGGGCTTTGTGTACTCTCACAAGCACACTCATACTTCTCTAACATACCATTTCTCAAATGCTGTTTATTGTTTAGAGAAGGAGGCTGATTCTGCCAGGCACATAATTTGTATCTTTAAAGGAGGTGTATGGAGTGAAAAACAGAAGTATGTTAAATTTCAAAGGACTTGGAAGCAATGCTGTCTGTGCGCTTGTATCACAAATAGCCCTACATTATTACATATGCTATTAATGAGGCAGAGTGAATGAAAGCGCAATTTGAATATGCATGACCCTATGCAGTGAGCAGCACTTTTGTGTGCTGATGGTCTCCCCATCTTCTAAAAACAATTAAAATGATTTTTTTAGCAGAATGCCTGCCTAGTGAACAGTAAAAAAAAAAATTCACTTAGACCAGATTCACACTGTCTTCTGATAAAACAGGTGACTCTACCTACAATTTCTGAAACTTGTGCATGTCCTTCCCCACCATCTCACAAAAAATATTCCTTAACTCCAAGCAGCTGCTTCATTACAATTTCTAAGCAAAAATAATGATTTTGGTAGAGATCTCTCAAAGTAGGCAAGGTTAAATAAGTCTTTTGAGTACAAAGCCTTCACTTCTATAGCAAGGAGCACTAGTTAAAAGACTGGGGAATGGGTAAATTATTGCAGCAAATGGCTAAGAATTAATCTCTGCTGACTAGCTGTAATCTAACGAGGCGTCTGTGTCCCAGGGAGCCTGCAGCATGTCCCTGGCGGTATGTGCAGTGTGTCGAGTCTGCATGGCACCCTTTGTCCTCGCTCACAGGCGGCCTTTCCTCTCATTGTCCACAATATCCTCATGCATCTGGGACGCGTGGAATGCATTCATACTAACAGACTTACCATTGTTTTCTCTCAGAAGCTTTGTTGAGCAAAGACTGCATCACGGTTACTGATAATTATATTGCTTAATTAATCAAGACAAAAAAATTGCAAATCATTGCCTGGTTGCCAAGCAGGGAGATAAAAAAAAATGACAACACAAGCTGAAGCAATATAACAAAAGTAGCAGCTATCTGATCAAAAATTCTTATATAATGAAGCTATTAGTGTTAAATCGGTTAATGTTAACATTGCTCCAGGTGTCTCTACTTAGATGCAAACAAAAAGGCTAACATGGATATAAAAGGCCAAATGTTGCCATGGATTTAGTAACCTGATAGAGGAGAGCCTTTTCATTTGATTAGGGAATGCAGTTTAAATACCAAGGACTGAAGCCAAACAAACAGACTTTCCCTCCGTGAGCCTCTTGCATTCACCCCGGGGTCAGTGGTTGGTGAACAAAAGGTCAGCCATCCTTGCCCTGGAAATGTCTGGATTAATTTTATTACATTGTAATGGCTTGTGCTTTAAATGTATGGATATCACTAAATATCCAGTTGACCATTATGCTATTCTTCCCTTCAGATTTTTTAAATAAAATACTAAAAAAGTGACTTTGTTCAATTTATTTTGTCAGAATTTATGACCACATTTATAAACTAACACACATTTTATTTAAAGGCATATTAATGTTTATTTCTATGCATTGTAAGTGTGCTACCATATTTATAATAACTTTTGATACTAGCAAGTGAATTCAAACAGATTTTATATTTGTGATTTACTTCAAATATAAAGTTGATATTTGGGGGGTGTTACATGACATTTCTCAGGGCTGTGCTAGTCTGTGGTAAATATTAAAGCTAATTACTGTATGCCAAGAGAGCATTTAAAAAACACATTATTAACAAAACATATTTTTCTGATTTTGAAAGCTATAAGATAATGTTTTAGTTCTATAATATTGAAATTTAGTTTATTAAAGTACAAGTGTTTATACAAAATCAAAAACTTCATACCCAGATAATAATACAGGCATTTAATATGGAATAACTTTTGGTATCTTTGCTTCCAGAGTAGAAAAAGGGTTCCCTTTATGTTAGCAATTTGAGCAATAAAATATAATCATCAATCTTACAAAGCCACAGTTTCTATCAAGCTTTTCATGAGATAGAGTAAGACTTTTCTGGATCCAGGAGTTGACTCATATTGTATCTTGTTAATAAGCATGCTAAACCTGGGTTTTATTATTTATTTTATTGCCATGGTAGAAGCTCTAATAAGAAATATGAATGGCAATAACAATGATAATAACTAACACTTTAACAGCCTTATTACGGTCCAGGCAACATTTGAAGCACTTTCCATTTATTGCTCATTTAATCCTTCTCAAAACTGTATTACATTAGGTTATAATCCAAACGTGAGCAATCAATCTCTGTTCCTTCAGGAAAACAATTTGGAATGAAAATGAAGTTATATTTCTTATCAGCTGAAAAATACCTCCAAGAAGTCATTTTTCTCTTGAGGAGTGGTGCTAAATGTCTAAATAAAACTTAAAACAAAAATTCCAAACAAAAAATAAATCTCTATATTAAGCACAGAGGAGACCTGGTGGTGCAGTGGTTAAGTATCTGTCTGTTAACAGAGAACCTGGCAGTTTGAACCTACTGGTGCTTCATGGGAGAAAGGTGTGCCAGTCTGCTTTGGTAGAGATTACAGCCTTGGAAACTGTGGGGCAGTCCTACTCTGGCCTACAGGGTCAATAGGAGTTGGAACTGACTCACTAGCAATGGATTTATAGTAAGCACAGCTAAAATACCACTGAAATATAACATGGATAGAAACAGCAGCTAATTTAGTACACACACACACACACACACACACAGAGAGTTGCGTTGTTCCATTCAATACCATGATCAATGTCAATTGACACAATTGTTAAAAATCAATGTTTAAAAACCATCACACACAGGTTCTTCATAGACATGTCTTCAATCCTTAGATTGACTTACATTAGCATTAGTCTGAGGCTCAGGAAGCTCCATCAGTCAGGAAAGGGCACATCCACATTTCCAGTTAGCCACAAAATGTTAGATACGGTATGTAGCTTATTTCACTCTTATTCTTTATCAATGTGTCCAACACTTAAAGGTATAACTTTTAAAGTATAAAGTTTAAAAAACTTAATGCTTTAAAAAATAGCCACTTTCTTTGACATAATTTTCAAAGAGGACCAGTAATAAAGTATAGAATATTGTGTTGAAGACGCAAGATCCTTTAAAAATTCTCAATTCATATTTATTTCTCATATGACACATATAACTCAGGAATGTAAGACATTCACCTGTTGAAAAAAGTTCCTATAGCACAACTATATCATTGTTTTTTAAAAAGAATGGATAATAAGTCCACATGATAAGACGATAAAAATGTACCTCAGGTTTCTTCCTTATGGCGACAAAGAACATGTGATTCTTCATTGGGTAAACAATGATTAAAACATCCCCGAAGGCGGTCGGGATAAGCCCCCCGTGGTAGTCCCTGGAGTGCTCAGACCAGATGATGTGCACCTCGTCATTCCCCAAGTGACGGAGCTGCAACAGCAAATCGGCTCTTTACTAATCGGAGTGATAACAGCAGTTTATGAGGGTCGTGACTTACAAATTGAATTATAATACTCAGCAGCATAAATATTTCACTATCAAAAAAGGCTACAACTCCAATGTCTTTTATGAGGATTTTAAAAAGCAAAAGTGCCTAAACATAAAAATAATCTTTATGAAACACATTGGGCCTAGGATAATTTATGTAAGCAACACATGTAACATCATGGCTAGATGGGGATATGGCCTTTCCAAGGACTGAAAATAAAGTGATAAAATATAGCAATTTGGGGCCATTTTAATTACCTTTAAAAGAATGTGCAATTCAGTAACATTAATTATATTCACCATGTTGTGCCACCGTCCCTACAACCCACTTCAAGTTTTTCTTCACCACAAATAGAAACTTGGTACTTTTTAGCAGTAAGTTCTCATTTATCAAGACTCCAAGGTCCTAATAACCACTAATAAATAACCACTAATGCTGTGTCTAAGGATTTTGTTCTAAATATTTTACATAAGGAGGAACATACAGTATTTGTCCTTTAGTATCTGACATATTTCATTCAACATACTTTCAAGGTTCATCTGTTGCAGCATATATTAAAATATCAATTCTCTTTATAGCTGATTGATATTTAAAACATTTTAAAAATGGAATTCTACTTCTGTATCAAAGTCTTATGCTTCACATTGCTGACCATATTTCTGAATAATTAGTGATATGAGTCTTTTATTCTACATTATAGTAGACCTTCATAAGACTCTTAATTCAATGGTCATTAAGAAAAAAGAACGTGATTATAGGAGAACATAAGCCAATATAACATAATTGTTACCGACTGTATACACTTGACTTAAAACAAACCTTTAAGAAAAAGTATGTGTAAAATTACCCGTCTAGAAAACAAATAAATATTACTTAAATTTTATTAAAAAAATAATAGTACCCAGCATTTAAAGTGTGCTTTACTGTATAGAAAGTATTACACACATCGTCTTATTTAATCTTTCCAATAACTCTGAGGTAGACCACAATACAGATAAACAGGGGTTCTGGGAGGCCAAGGCACCTACCACCCAAGATGCATGTTTGTTAGAAAGAGCGTGGCGACCTGGGCTGCGGCTTCGGAAAATCCAGTGTTACTTATAGTATTCCACAACTACCAAAACCTGCGCCCAAAGCTACATGTGTTATCATAGTTCAAATAATTCACTCCACTTGGCTTATCACTTTCCGTGAAACAGCCGAGCATTCCAACATCCAACTGTAGGCTCTCTAGCAGGCCTCCAAGGAGGACACTCTTCGGGGTTTCTGTGCTGAGCTGTGCTCGTTGCAAGAGCACCTTGAGAAAACTCCCATCAATGACTGTGCCATCTCGAGCTGGTGAAACCATATGAAATATGAATAGCAACACTAGAATATAATGATTAAAATGTTAGCCAAACTTAAAGGTATCACCACAACTGGGTGAACGTTCTTTGATACCCATCATTAACTCAGGGTTTCAATCCTCTCACATGCTGCCTACTACAACGAAAACCTATTGCTGTCTTCTTAGATTGTCTTAATTTAGCACTAAATGTGGCTAAATTCAGAGGCATTTCAATAAACTACAGGCATGTGTCAAAGCTATTGTTTTATTTTGTCTTAGAGATATAAAAATAAATTCTGGAATACTTGCTTTTAAAACCTTTTGGGACACATACAATTTCCTTTATAGTACAACAAGAAAGCCAGCGTGACCCTAGAATGGCTTCCATTCCTTTTATAAGGTTGTAAAGGATGCTGCTTGCTTCAATGTCTTCTTATTCTTCACTCCCCAATACTTCTGGGGACAACTGTACACATCAATTATTTAAAGAGATGTGCAACTGTATCTTTGTATCTACTGTGAGGGAAGCATGATTCAATTGTGTCTGAATATGGGCTCTGGGACAAATGCAACTGTGGGTATATGACGCAAGTCAATGTGATGGCTTTTAAAATATAAAATTGCCCAATATATATTTTTCCTCCACTTCCATTCACACAGAAAGTGCTTCAAAAAAGTTTGTGGGAAAAAGGTATTTAAAGATAATGCATTTTCAATGAACTTTTTGAAGCCTATGAATTGGAATGGCAGTGAGTGAATTAGTTGTATAAAGGCTAAATACTTTAAAAGAAAAAGATGACACTGGGTCCACATCACTTTGAAACCCCTCTGTATCTATTTCCATTTTAGATACCTTTCTTTCCTTTTTTAAAAAAATTAAATCATGTACAGACCTGAAATATACTCCTAAAATTCAGTCCTTCTGGAGTGAAAACATGAGTAGTATTGAACTTAAGGGGTGGTGAGGACAGATATAGAACAGCAGAAATAATTGTGAAAGCTAGGGTGACCCAGAGTTAATGGCTATACTTCTTGTCAAGCAAAAAGTGCCAACCCTCTGGGTGGTTCTATGACCCTTGGCAGAATGCTGGCACAAATGTCTGAATGGCAACAACTCATCTATTAAACACTCAAATGTGCTGTTTCCACCCCATACCAGCACATTAAACCACATGACAGCTCCTTTGATCCAGAAATTTCAGTTACAAGGTGTTAGCTCTGAGATTACACAGTGATGACAAAATCCTATAGGGGTGATTTAATAACATAATCAAAGTAAGTTTTTCATAATTTTGTTTGCAACTGTATTCTAGAAACACAACCCAGGGAGAATATTATCATACTAATAGAATCATCCTATTAAAGCAGTAATTACGAGGTAAGGAAGGGCTCTTTTTATGTGTCAGTTATGTAATATTCATCATCTCATAGCTTCTTTCAATATTACTTGCCTCAGACCTCTGGACACATTACAATTTACTGAACTAATTCACAAAACTAACAGCTAAGATTATAGGAGTAATTGATTGAAATATGTGGAGCAAAGAGCAAACACACTCTCATTTACCTACAATACCAACATAAGTAACACAAATTAACTTTATATGGCCAAAGTGTTAGTGGTATCAGGTCACAATGGAATACTTTGGAAATCTCAAAGTGCTGCTTAAGTCGAAGGGGTATTGTTATATAGATGTCATTTTGCAAATTTTGGAACATTGTAATGACTATCAAATTTAATTATTAATTATCATGTTAGATAATTATTAATTATTAAGTTAGGAATCCTTAGTGTGTGTGCTCAGTGCATCAAAGTTAAGCCCATCTGATTCTTGAGTAATCCAGGAGATGGATGGTTCTCCTACATGATTGGAGCTGTAATTCACACCAATGCCCCCTTCAGCTGCATAACAGGCTTCAAAATGTGCTAGTGCTTGCCAGGCTCAGAACAAATACGCCTGTTCCTACGTCTGAAGAAATCAACGACACTGTGTCCTGCTAATTCTCCTCCTGACAGTCTCCAAATGCCTCCACCCAGTCCATTCTGCCTGCTGCTGCCATTTCACCACTCCACTGGTGACACTGGTCATGGTACACACCAAATAGGCTGACCTCCTTTCCCGACTAATTGCATTACATCGCCAGCTGGCTCCAGAAAGAGTCATCTGTTTGATTGAAGAATTCCTGCTCCTCAGTGGCCCCGGCTGCTACGTTGACTAAGTAACAGTCAGGCCTGACATCCCCATTGTTCAGCTGACATTGTGCCCATCCCAAAATCGAAGTTTTATTTGTAAATTAACCAAGAAACTTCCTGCCAGAACAGTGCTGCCTGGAGACTGATAATGTGGGTCTTTCATCCCCTTTCACTCGTACTGTATCATTGCCAATTTGTTTTTTATGCTGCTGGCCAGCCTGAGGCTATAAAAGCCTTGTAAGACATAAGTGCAATTATAGTCCTGGAGTCAAATGAATTGGACAAATCCAATAGCAAGGCTCTGTCCTCACTCTGCAAACCCCTACAGCAGTTAGATTAGCTGTGAAAAATCTAATCTAGCTAGAGATAACAAATTTCTGCAGAGAAGGATCAAGAGTTCATTGTAGGGTTCCAACTGGATTGCAGAATTGAAAATGTTCCCCAATGACAGGGGCAAAAGAGCGCATACATCACCTTAGAATTTTGTAGCGCTCATGTTTAAGCTGTTAGGGGCAATTTAGTTAGAAGAAGACAAGGAACTAAGGGCTGTCGTTCATGTGACTGATTTTCAGTCAAGCTGTGAGGTATCTTGGTAAAGACAGTTTATCACCAATGACGCTAAATCTTGGAGCTGTAAAAGGTATTTGCTGAATTTTAATTATTATAGTAGGAAATCTTTCAACTAGGCCAAGTCTCAGAACATTACTGGTCGCATGGTATTTTGTCAAGAATATGGATGAAATCTTTAATAAAAAAACAGAAAGAAAGAAAAAGAAAATAAAGACAAACTCTATGGTTCAAAAGTAATAATTAAGAAGGAAGGCCCTGAGGATTTCTGTATCCTGGCCAAACCAGCAGCCCAGCAAGGAAGGCCTCAGCTATATCCCCATCCACAAGCAAGCAAGACCCCAGCCGTCTCAACAACTTAGCAAGAGTCACGTGCTCCCGCACAACCTGGCAGGCCACTCGGGACTGCACCACAATGCCACGGAAGAGCAGTCCATTTTAGTACACAGAAAAAAATCAAGGAAAACAGTCACAGACAACTGAACAACACACAAACCTAAAGGATTTCAGTGAAGAAAAGATTCTGGGATGATCATAAATAGAATTCAGGATAGTGGAACTGACATGCCTACAACAGAAGGAAAAATAATAAAAGATTAGAAACGCTACACCAAGTAGATCTCCTTAAGATAAATAATAAAATAATGAAAATAGAGAATACAATAAAAGATTAGAGTAATAAAATTGAAGAAATAAGAAACCAAATCAGTGAGTTAAAAGACAATCCTTTCAGATACAACTGACAAGAGAAACAATCAACAAAAAAGGGAAGGAATTGAGAAAACATGTGAACAATGTGGAACACCATCAATATTCACAACCATCAATGGGTTCGTGGAGGAAGAGGAAATCAC